TTTTGGCTGACCACGTACTTCAGAGCTGTCTAAAGGCACAGGGTGAGGCGAAAAGCATTAATCTGAGTAAGTACAAATTAGGGTACCTTATAACTTTAAACTATCAGGACATGTTTTCAGTTTTCCTGGGGAAGTTTGAGGAATGACATCAATATTATAAAGTTATGCTCATAAAGGGTGAATCTTAAAAGTGGCACGTATTATATAAAAAACTCTCTGAAAACTATTTCGCAACTCTTTCTATACATTTTATTTTTATAGACAGCTTCCTCTTTCTGACTCAATGTTTTTGCAGCCACCAAAAACAAAGCTGTCTGAGAAGGCAGGATAAACAGCATTAATTTAAGTAAGTACAAATTAGATTAACTTCACACATCATGACATTTTCAGTTTTCTTGGGATCGTCTAAGGAAAGGAAATAAACGTTATCTTATTTGCAAAATCATAAGAATTTATGTTTGTAAAGGGTGAAAATTAAACATTATACATAGAAAAGAACCAAATTATTTCTCAACTCTTTCTATGCATTTCTTTTATCGTTCTAAAATTATTGATATCGTGATTTTTGCCATATATTGTATTCCTGTAGTATTCAATTAGGAATTCGTTGCTTTTCAACATTGTGCATTGTGTGGACCGCAATGACGTGTGAGAAACCCTAAAGAGGAGGAGAAGGGCAAACATTCATTTATATTGAAAGTGGATGTGAAAACATAAGAAAAGAGGAACAAAGTTTTTCTCATCGTATAAATTTCTTCGGGGACACGCTCCTCACACCTCAGGATTAGAAGATTCTTTTATGCTGAGACTATTCCTAGAGACTCGCAACTGCTTCTAATAAGAAACGGTAACAGCAACAAGAAAAGGTAAGAATCTGAGCTTGGGTTAGTAAAGTAATTATAAAAATACTTAGTCTAAATTAAAATGTCAGTTGAAGGCAGCAGGCTCCAACAACCATGATGAGTGTCCTGTATACTGTTTCTACAATATTTTAAAAATCATTAAAAATCTATCAGATATACAATGCTAGTTTGTCAATTTACGTCTTTATAATGTTTAAATGTACTTGTACTTGGGGCGATCGTGGCTCAAGAGTTGGTAGTTTGTCTTGTAATTGTAAGGTTGCCGGTTTGAGCCCCGGCTTGGACAGTCTCGGTCGTTGTGTCCTTGGGCAACTTCATCTACCGCCTACTGGCGATGGCCAGAGGGGTTGATGGTGCGATATGGCAGCCTCGCTTCTGTCAGTGTGCCCCAGGGCAGCTGTGGCTACAACTGTAGCTTTCCTCCACCAGTGTGTGAATGAATAGTGGAATTGTAAAGCACTTTTGAGGGTCTTAAAAAGCACATTATTATTATTGTCAGATTTTAAGAGACAGCTGAAAACATCAATGATATACCTAAAGCGAGAATTTGCAATCTGATATTAGAATTTTTTTCTGATTTGAAAGTATTCTCTTTTCAGATCCCTGCATTCACCTGATGAAAAAACACAGAGGCCTTTAGACGTTTTCAACTTAATATTTAAACAAACGAAACGAAAAAAAGGAGCCGACAGAAGTTATTTAAAGGACTATTTCTTTGCACTGCAAGAAGACAAAATGGGAAACCATCAGCTGCTGTCAGTTACAGTTGTTCTTGCAGCTGTTCAACTCATCAGTAGTTACAGTTTCAGGAACTGCATTGCAGAAGCAGATTCTGATGGGAAAACTTTCAACTGCATGCATCGGAATGCAATGCATATTTCTGATATTGTCAGTGACCTGCCACCATCTGCCATCAATCTCACCATTTTAAGAACTCCTCTGACGGACCTTCCTAACAACAGCTTTAGTAACCTAGTAGACCTTCAGCACCTCAGAATTGATAATAATTCCTTGACAACCATCCGTCAGTTAGCTTTCCAAGGCTTGTATCAACTGAAGAATCTAAACATGTCATTAAACAAAATATCAGAGCTCAACCCTTCTCTGTTTAAGGACCTGCAGAATCTCACCTCCCTCTTTTTGGCCAACAATGCATTGGAGCGGCTGCCCGAGGATATTTTTTCATCTGTTCTCAAGCTACACACTTTAATCCTGAGACAAAACTTTCTGTCAGATTTCTCAGGCATTGCTAAGTCTGTGGCACATCTGACAAATCTGACGACACTGGATCTTTGCTTTAACAATTTGACCTCCCTCAGACACTCAAATGTGTCATTGCCCCAGTCCCTCACTGTTTTGTATGTTTGCCATAATAATCTATTAACGCTGGGATGTAAGCCTTCATTTCTCAGCTTTATCAACATTTTAGATTTGTCATACAATTCTCAGCTGCCTACAAAAGCCTTTGATCAAATTGATTTGAGCACTATAAATTATTTGCGTTTGCGTTCAACAAATGTAACAATAGTGGAGTTTTTAAACATTAGCAACATCAATCCAAGTCATGTTGATTTCTCTGGTACAGGACTGAACAATGACAGCATGCTCAAAGAATTATGCATACTGTTGAAAAAAAGGCTGAAAGAGAAAAATCTTAAAAATATGAACCTGGGTAATAATGCAATTAGGCAACTTACAAATAACACACTGTCCTATTGTCCTAATATCACAGGGGCTTTGGATCTATCCCGCAACAACCTAAAGAGTGCATATTGCCTTGAGTTTCTTAGAAGACATGTATACATAGAAGACTTCAAAGCAGAGCACAACCATCTCAGCTCCCTAATATACTGTAAAAAAATGTTTCAATTTAAAAAAATGGAAAATCTGAGTTATCGTTACAATCGCATCTTAAAAGTTGACTCTCATGCTTTTTATCATACACCAAATATCAGGACGCTACAACTTAACATAAACAGTATTGCATTTCTCCATATACACGCTCTCAAGGGACTAAAAAAGCTCGAGACACTTCGTTTAGACAATAACCTCTTAACTGATTTGTTCAGTGTCACATTTGAAGATCTGGTCAGTTTGCAAATTCTTAACATTCGCAACAACCGCATTTCTGTCATTTTCAATAGGACTTTTTTCAACCTGACATTTTTAAATACACTGGATCTTGGAGGTAATAAGATTACCCATTTTCAGCGATCGGGTCTTGATGGACTAAAAAGCCTGTCCAAGCTCTATCTAGATGGAAACCAGCTAAAACAAATTGACCCTTTCTTATATCGTGCATTTCAAGACACCCTCACTGTGCTAGATTTACAGAGTAATCAGATTTGCTTCATAACAGAAACTCATGAGTCACCATTCATGAATCTCAGCAGACTGACTGATCTGAAATTAGATCGGCAGCGACCTAACGGACTCACCGTTTTACCACGCACTTTACTACGTGGCCTCTACTCACTGAAATCTTTGTATCTCACCAACAATAACATATACCATCTTGCTCCTGATACCTTTGATGACCTAACAGACTTAAGTTTCCTCACACTGGATAACTGCTGTGTTGGGGTGAAAAAATTAGAACCAGGGGTCTTTAAAAATTTAAGAAATTTGACCAGATTGGCTGCAGAAAATATGGGCATTCAGAACTTCTCTAAAGAGGTTTTTGGGAATCTTACACAGTTACGTTTACTGCAGCTCAACCGCAATGCCATGCAGACTCTTTCTGTAGACGCATTAATGAGTCTACCTATGCTTCGTTACCTTGACATACGAGATAATCCTGTAAGCTGCACCTGCAACAACGGGCCTTTGCAAAATTATACAAAGAATAACACAGATGTTCAGGTGGTGTACCTGTACAACCTGTCATGCCAACACAATCCAAAACTCAAATTTTACAATTTTGACACTAAAGTTTGTCGCGGAGATATAGGAATGTACCTGTTTTTTAGCACATCAGCTGCAATCTTCTTGTTTACAATCATTCCCTTATTCTATGTTAAACTCTACTGGAAAATGAAGTACAGCTACTATGTGTTTCGGGCCTGGTTTAGCGAGCAGTGGAGCAGATTCCATGAGGAGGAGGAGAATTGTAAATATGATGCATTTATTTCCTATAACTCATCTGATGAACAATGGGTCATGGACCAATTGTTACCCAACTTGGAGGGAGGCGGATCATCTTTTAAGCTTTGCCTGCACCACAGGGACTTTGAGTTGGGCCGTGATATTGTGGACAATATTGTTTCTGCTGTATACAGCAGCCGGAAAACCATTTGTGTGGTGAGCAGGAATTTTCTGCAAAGTGAGTGGTGTTCTCTGGAAATCCAGCTTGCCAGTTACAGACTCTTTGATGAGCACAGAGATGTTCTCCTGCTCGTTTTTCTGGAGCCAATCTCTGAGAGGCAGCTGTCTTCGTATCATCGCATGAGGAAAGTTATGTTAAAAAAGACTTACCTGCAGTGGCCTGGTTCAGACTGTACTAACCCAACACAGGCGCAGGAACTGTTCTGGAATCAGCTGCGTAGAGGAATAAAAACAGGGACCAGACTAGAGACAGAAGAATATTCTGCAACTTGTGAGAGCAAAGAAGCTGAAGACTTTACGGATGAGAGATCTGATGAAAACTTTTACTTGCAACCTTAGAAAGAAAATAAGAATGTGCGATTTGTGGTTTTACTCAATTAACCTTTCAGTCTAAATGTGTTTATCTGTGATGAAGTTATGTTGTAAATATGCAATATAATGTGTAATAAATGTAAGAGCAGCTTTTGTTAATTTTATGTTTTGCAGTGTTTATGTATATATGCAATTTCTAAAAATGTCTTTTAAATTACTGTTTTGCATTTAAAGGGATGCGCAACTTTCACAAACAAATTATATTCCATTATGACATGTGTTTTTAATTGTACAGAAGTCCAAAATAAACATAAATGCTTAAAAAGGTTGAAAATGATGCATAATCAAAGGCTACTTAACTCAGCAAAAACAGGACAATAGAAAAAGACAGGTTACTCTTCAGAGGATAGCTATTGCATCTATGCTTAATGCTATGGTTATATTAATATGGGAACATAACATGTTTATCACTCACTAAACAAAAACCTTGGAGTGCATAAATTAAGGGAGAATTGTACTTTAATCAGTCATAGAAATATTGATCCACATGCTTGTATGGAGAGCTTTACCACACATTAGTACAGTCTCATAGGAGGGAAGGACCACGGCTCAGGGCTAAGGAAAGCAGAAAGGGAAGGTGAAGGGTCTCTCTCAAGAATGAATGACGGAGGGTAGTGCATAATATCAGTGTGCTGGGACTTCAGAGAACAAGCTGAAGCGTGACTGAACTGGTTTGAAGGTTGGAAATGGCTGCTCTGATGGTGAACTGGGGCAGCAAAAGAGGGAACACAAGAGTACATATCAGTTCCAAATGGGTCTTCCTGCTGGGCAAAGTGCATTGGCTCTCCTGCGTATGTATCTGGCAGCTGCGATTGGTAAGGAAAAGAGGGCTGGGAGTTGCTGCCAGAGTACTGTAGGCTCTGATTTCCAAGTAAGCTGGATTGGTCCATGAAGCCATTTTCAAAAGAACCAAATGTAGCTGAATTTTTGCTCTTTGACCAGTTTAAACCATCTTGCCAGTTCTCAGGTACAGAAGCCACTTCTCTCTGGCATAAAGTGGTAGAAGGAGCAAACAAAATGCTTTCTGGAGCTTCACAGGTCTGAAGGTTCATGAACAATGGAGGAGAGAGACTTGGTCTGAGGATATCATCCAAAACACTGTCAGCCATATCCGCAGGGCTCGCCAGCCACTCAGTAACCTTGACAATTAACATAAGGAATCATTATTTATTATCAGAGAATCTTATATTATAGAAATCTGAAAATAACTTAAGAGTGACAATGTAAACTGAGGGCCTCACCTGTTTTTGACTGCAGTGTTGCTGCAGACTGGTCTTCCAGCTGGAATGGCTATTTGCTGGCATATTAAAAGAGAGATCTAAAAATAAGGAAACAAAACTGAAAAAATGTAGGTATGTCATGCCTACTTCTGTTTTTTTTAAATAACCACATAAAATGATGTAAAACCAAATTGATGGTTTGTGTCTTTTCTGTATTCTTTACACAAATTAATCTCCTGACATAAAACAAACACAAAACACTTTTTAGGATAGGTCAAAAAATCCAAACCTATCTTCACACAATGGATGCCTATTAAAAAAAAAAGTATTTAAAAAAAAAAAAAATCTTCCTCATCATGCAATACATGGAGTTAAGATCAATGTTTTCTCTTTTTAAAACAAAACAAAACAAAAAAACAGCAGAAATGTTGGTTTAAAGATATTTAACAGTAAATAAACCTTTAAAACTATTTTAGCACAGAAGGCATTATCCAGTCATTCTTTAAGGGGAAAAAGGTTTTTTCAGTGTTTCACTTCTCTTCCGTAACTGTTTTTGCACGTGTTTGACAGAAGGAAGAGGTGGCGCAAAGACAGACAAGTATAAGAGAGGACAGTGGTGAGTTAATGACAACTGATTGAAGTGCAAGAAATGTTAATTATTCTAAAACCATAGATAGACAGATGCAGATTTACACTAAACATCTGTAAGTCTGATAGTAGAGAAGCTGGTCCTAGCTGGAGTACCAATAACTGTCTGCCAAAGTTAAATCTGAACCAAATACACAAGGTCTACAAGGCTGAGGGGGAGTAACAATTACTTCAACGGTAAATTCTATAGTACATGACAGCACAAAGACACAGGAAGTAAAAGTGACAACAGGTAAACGTGATGTAGGTGGAGGTCATGGTCAGTCTCTAAGGGAAACACTTTGTGCAGAATTCGCAATTAGTGTATTTAAGTTGTGTTTGTATTGTGTGCATAAGAACAAAATAATGTGTGTGAGCTTACAGGATGCAGCATGCACTATTACTAGTTCAATTTAATCTGAATGACTAAATGGTTAAAATACACCAACATAAAAAGACAGTGTAAATGTTCAAGCTATCAAACAAAAGTAAATGTAAGAACTTAAATATTTCTTACCAATCAGCTTGGCAATATATTACTAACAATCACTTTTATACTAAGTACTTATAAGTAACAATGAATGCAAAGATAGTCCATAAACACTTTTAAAATAACAAATTTTGAGCATATAATCTGTATCACAATGTAATAACATCTATCAAACAGATGTTTGATCAGCTGGAAGTTACACAGTTGAAATTATTACCATGTCAACCAGCATGGCTGTGGTCAAACAGAGATCATTAGACATAATCAGTTAAAAACTTGCACCAGAATATCTCCCCTATGATAGTGATAGATAAAGTATAACAAGTAGTTGTTACTTTAAAAAAAACGAAACGTTGAGCTTGAACAAATCTGCGCTTTCCTTTATATTATGGGGGACATGTATTTTAAGCTCTAGACCAAAATACTAAATTTTGCTCTACAAGGGCCTGATATCCACTTACGATGACATTATAGTGCCACAGTTCAATTGAAATTTTAAACGAATATCCTCATATGTGCGTCTCATTTTTGTCAGAAACAAAAATCAGGTAAAGAAAATCTGGCAATTCTTTGTTTTTACACTCATCAGGTCCCAATGAGCCCAAATATCAAAAAGAAATAAAAATGCATGCCATGGAAGAGTTCAAGTCTCAAGAGGTTAATGCTCACCTGCGGCAAAGAGATTCTCTTCATTTTTCCTGGTTGGCTCTTGATCATGATCTTGGTCTTTCTTTGTGGGATGCACAGCAAAGCTACGATGTTGCTGAAGTCTAAGGAGGTTCTCTTGAAGCCACGGTCCATGTGTTTCCCTCAGAGAGTTTAACAGGACCTCCCTGCTCTCTGACAGCAGGTTTCTCCTACTGATCGACGGAAGCTTCAAACGTTGACACAAACGTCCTGCTACTGCACTGACAAACTTCGTTACATACTCTGGATCTTGTGTTCTGTCCTGTATCTCACAGCTGTTAGTAGTGGCTGAACTGGAGAGTTTAAGTGGGCTTGAGGTGAGACCATGAGTTTGTATCTGCTGAACAGGGGGCTCCTGGTTCTTTGGGGTTTGCACAAGAGTAGAAATCACACGTTTCTTTACATTTGTGTTGAAAGTCTTAATATTGTCTCTGTCAACAACCGGAGTCAGCAGTGATTCTCTGCTGTTTTCAGACATGACACATGCCCACTTGGTTTCTGTTGTTAGTACATCGAGGAAGCCGTGTTTAGACCAGTGGCTGCTTTGAAAACTTTCACATGAAAGAGGGAGTTGTTGTTGTGGTTTCTCTTCTGTTGTGACATCTGACTGCTTTGACTCAAACTGGATGTTGTTCTTTTCCTTCTCTTGGCAGTCAGTGTGGGCTTTTGAAGCAGGGTCTGTATTTTTTCTGAATGGCACACAGCTCCCAACATCTGTATCAGCTCCCAACAAAGCATCAGTGGACAGTGAAGCAGAATTGTGCGATGCTGAAGATGAAATTACAGTGTTCTTTTCTTTTCTTTGTTCCTCCAGTTTTGGCTGTTCACTTAGCAAGCGTTCAAAATCAATAGACTTCACCTCATGGTTAAACAGGCCATGGTGTCCTGTCAGGCGGCCGTCTGTGATGATACTGGGCTCCTGCACAGAGCGCACAACACTTGGAAATGGTGGATTTCTCCTCGAAGAACAATGGCAACTAGCACAACAGCAGTTATGCAAATGTGCCATGTCTATGTTGCTTTGGCAATGACGGTAGTGATGATGATGGTGATTTGACTTGATCTTTGAAATCTCTTTCCAGCCACCTCTTATTTGACTCCTCTCCTTGCGGGTCTTCAGTCGTTTCATTTTTTTCTCCTCATTTGCCTTACTGTAATGGGTTGAATATCTGGGAAGAGCACTGAATCTTTTTGCAAAGCAACACTTTTTATCTGTTGTTTTTGTTTCTTGTTGAAAATTGTTGACTTTTCCTTCTTATAGAGGTCCTGCCACACACATGGCTCATGCTGCATTCCATTCTGTAGAAAAATAACCACAGTTAGTAAAGCAGGCTTGATAATACAGGATGTGGTTGTACCTCATTGAGGTCGACTCTAGTATTAAAATTAAGAGCAACTTACCAATGATTCAGTGAAACTGATTAAATATAAATTTGAATGTGGGCTTTGACTTGAACATGTAGACCACACATAATACAACTTTCTAAGCACTTCATAAAAATAATAAGAAAGCATGTAACATACTTGCCATAGTTTAGCAGAGATAGATAAAGTATGAAAAATGTCTCCTTTACCTTAACATTATTTGTGCAATTAAACCCTGAAGTGAGGATCATTTCATGTACAGTATGAATTGTAAGGAAATTAATTTGCATGACATTTAAAATCATATTAAACTACAGACACAAAATCATTCCAATATATAATGTATTATTTGACCTGTTCCACAATCACAAGAGTTTCACCATATGTGCAGCTGTACACACTGAAAACTAGGTTTCGAGAAAAACATTTCACATAAATGGGCGAAAAAAAAGACACTGAGCAGATGGGCCTACTGCAGTCAGACTTTGAGCACTTTAAGTACCCCTTCAGATATTTTTGCAGTTTTATAGCTGTGGTTACATTTCTCTGTGCATGCATGGTTGTAATTATTTATAACATTTGTAATTGTATAGATACTGAATAGTAAGGTGAGTTGAGCTGACTACACCCATCAAAGTTGCCTGTCAAGTTCATATGGTCTGCTGTTAACCCTGTGTAAAAAAAATAATAATAATAAAAATAAAAACATTAAAAAAATATAATAATAAAAATATGTGCAGTATTGAGATGACTGTAAGTCAAAAGTACTTAACTTATACTGCCTCCATCTCACCCCATCCCACTTCTGTAACACCAACCTACTTTCATTACATCCATAAACCTCCTCTGCAATCATCCTCTTTTTTCTTCTGCCTGGCAGCTTTATCTTTAACATGCTTTGCCCGTTGTGTCCACTATCCATCCTCACCATATGTCCAAGCCATTTCAACTTTGCTTCAATATCCCTCCTAGTCACTCGCAACTAAAATTTTAGAATCTTCAGCGCCACCTCCCGTCTTTTTGTCAGTGCCACCGTCTCCAAACCATACATCATCGCAAGTCTTACTAACATCTTAACTTTCCTTTTGCATTCTTCTATGCTTATGTCGCCAATCACACCTGACACTAGTGCCCACTCACTCCACCTCGTCCACAACCTCTTCACCACTTCCTGTGTGGACTGTTCGTTGCTTTGGATGGTTGACCCCCAGGTATTTTGAACACAAATCAGCTCGAACTAATACTGAAACTTAATGAAAACTTAACTAAAACGAGCAAACTAACTTGGAGATTAGCAAGCACCTACTATCCCCAGGTGTAATTTAAGTTAAGGTGACACGCGGTGCATGAAGTTCAAGCTGTAGCTGCTTAGAAGCGAAAAGTATTTCCAACTTTAGCAAACTGTAAATCAGTTAAAACCGTAAATACATGAGAAAAAAATAAATGAAAAGGAAAAATAGTTAATAAACATAGTGTCTACTTACCAAAGTCGTTAACAACCGCTTAATTTTATCGCACACCGAATGTGTCGTTGCACGGCAACACGCAGCCGTTGCGTTTTTTACACGCAGTGATAACGCCCAAGAAAGCCCACGAGTTGGACGAAACTACCCTCACAAAACGAGGGGTTACACAGTATCAACTCTGCTCCATTTCTCTACTTATGTAATCCTTTATTATTTACATTCTCATATCATATTTTGCACACTACAATTTTATATGTTCAAACGTCGGAAAATTAAAATATCTAAAACCATACATGTTGCTGACTACTCATGATAATGGTACGCTCTGCTGTGCTGAACCTCACTTCCGGAAAGTGATTCGGGGGACAACAGTGTTTTTGATTTAGTGGTATGCTATGATAAGTTATACCTCTTAATGCAGTCATTATGTTAATATCTACCCTTTTCCATTCTGCAGAGCACAGGCCTATTTAATTTCACAATTTCTCTTATCTTTGTTCAACTACATCTCTTATGTGTTCCAGCATGTTGAGCTAGCTATTGTAGCTAACTTTGTTAGCTTCCACAGACCTCTCAAGCGAACAGAGCTATGGGCTATTTATGAATTGGTTTGTATACATTGCTGAAAGTGTGAAGAACTCAATGCGACTGTTTTCCCAACACAGGTAAAGCAGAATGAGTGCAGGAGAACCAAACCCAGCCGCCACACCCACTCCCTGTGAAGACACGCAGGGAGATGGACGATGGATGTCTATGGTGTGTGACTTTTATATTATTTATAGGTTTTATAAAGTACGGTGTTATATTATTCCGTTTGCATCGTTGCTGATGTTTAGTTCTGCAATCACTGAAGATAAAGGGAAGCTTCATAGTTGAAAAGAGCCAGCTACTAACATATTGTAGTACATATTGTTGCAATAATGGCCTTCATAAATTATTTAAACCTGTCTAATAAATGAAAATGCAATGGCTTGTGAGGGGTGTGCAGTTTTGCAATTGATTGTGAAAGAAAGGAGAAAAGTCTTGGCAAATTAGTATTTTTTCAGACACATGGGGATATGCATAGATATTTCATTAATTGATTAAAAAAAAAAACATTAGAAAAAGTTTTCTCTATCCACATAACAGCGCATTCTAAATAAATTTTTGTACCTGGACTTGTCATGTAAAAATCAAATTGCTGGTGTTACATTCAATACTGCACTGATACCAAAGTGCTTCTAGAAAGTAGACTCGCCACTCGTTAGCCTTTTGGCGTTGCCATCGGGCATTCATTTGGGTAGTTATTTTAAAGCATGTCTCTAAATGAACACAAATGTCAGTAGTCACCAGAAAATCAAAAGAAACATACCATGCTGATTCTTAAAAAAAACACAAGGTTTTAAAAAGTTTGTCTTGCAATATGTGTGGATGTTGTGCAATGGTTGGTACTGTAGTAAAAATATATATACATCTTTTACATTTTCTTTTTGTAGCACAATCGGTTTGTGTCCGACAGCAAAGACAAAGAACCTGATGTCCTGTTTGTTGGAGACTCTCTTGTTCAGCTCATGCACGAGTTTGGGGTAAAACAAAGATTGCATTGATATGTGTGCCTCTGTCCATTATGTAACTGATTTACGTTTTCTCATAAATGTTTTCAAAGTGTGAAAACTTGTTGTGGAACATGTGAATGCAATATTATTGTGGTTTGTCTGCAGATATGGCGTCAGTTGTTCTCACCTCTCCATTGCCTTAATTTTGGGGTGGGTGGTGATGCAACACAACATGTGCTGTGGCGACTGAGCAACGGTGAACTGGATAACATCAGCCCAAAGGTTCAAAACAGTGCCAGAAATAGATAACATGATCATGCTTGTTTATTCACACAAAAGACTGATTGTGCTCAACTCTGTGTTAAAATCCCACTTCCAGGTACATTGGGTCAAAATATCAGCGACATGTGTTCAGTCATGCATTGCTTTGTCTTTTGTTGTTGCAGGTCGTAGTGCTGTGGGTAGGAACTAACAATCACGGTCACACTCCTGAACAGATCTGTGGAGGCATCTTGGCTATTATCCAAGTTATCAAGAACAAGCTTCCCAATGCCCACACGCTTGTACTTGTACGTGTTTTTCCTAAAGCATTCCTTGTATCGGGTGTTAATCCGCATGTTTTTTGAAAATGACTAATGAAGTTAATTCAACCATCAAAGTACATTGCGATGTCACCCCTTTTAACAGCATCTTAGCTATCTGAAATGAGGTGAAGTGTAAAGTTATGGATGCTTCTTCATAGGCTGGAACTTTGATTATCTGTGAGCCATTTCACGTAGTATATTCAAGGATTTTAAATATACACTGCAGACATTGCTCATAAGAATAAGGGCTTGGAAGTATTTTGTTCTGAGGCCCATTTGAAAAAACAGTGCAGCACACACTCTACAGACATGCTCTTCAACGAGTCTGCAGAGAATAGCAGCTTGATGGGAGCTGTGTAGAAGCTGCAATCGCTGCTGATGCTGTTGCAACTAAAGTTAGAGACTGAAAATGAAATATTTTAGGTACTTAGAATAAAATGAGACTTTTGAAAATTTAATGCTAACTGGAACAACCTTTTTTGGTGAACCTTGGAAACTAATATCAAATGAAAATACAGAGGAACTCTCTTCAGCTTGAGTCTTTGCCAGTCTTTGTAGAATCTATCAATGGAAGTTGTCTGATGAGCCTGTGGTGAATATGTTTATTGAGACTGGGATGAGTTACGTGTATTTATGACGTGTTATATGTATTCTAATAACTATTCCAAAATTCTTGAATTTATTATCTTGCTATAATGATCTCTTTAACGGGGTTGGCCAGTCTGAACAAAACTAACATCAGATCACTAACATCTATGGGTTTTTTAAAAAAAGACTTAATAGTTTTCGTTTGTTTCATGTGCTATCTTCAATGTATGTCACCTATATGTAAGTTAATGGTTTAAGAAAATTGGATCCGCAGTAGAATTTTGTTCAAGTCACCACTAAATACAGAAAGAAGAATTAGAAAAAGTGCTGCAAACCTGGTTAACTCTGGTAATTAAAAAAAGACTGAGATTTTCAGACAATAAAAACTAAACTGAAACGGCAACGGCTTAGAAAATCTGCTTAAAGATCAACTGATGCTATATTGTATTGTTTGTAAATGGATATCTTAGATTGTTTGGATCAGAAGGTTTTGTGCTATATGATATGTAGTTAAAAGTAAACCAGAGGAGTCTCTGCCTGGTCAGGTGAATGTTAGGGGGCCAAAAAGCTGTACTTGTTTCAGACAGGTCTGAAGTTTAACTGTATTCATTTACTGTATATGTACTAGGGGGCAGAAACTTAATTGGAAATTCAGCTAACACGCACATGAGTAAGTTATGAAATAAGGTATATGAAACATTTAAAAATAAGTATGCTAATGTTTGTTTTCCAGAGTTTACTGCCCAGAGGAAAAATGCCAAACCCTCTACGGGAGAGAAATGCCAAGGTGAACGAGTTAGTAAAGGACACCTTAACATCCCTTCCCCGTGCCTCCTTCTTCAATGTAGACCCCGGCTTTGTTCACTCCAATGGTAGCATCTCCCACCAGGACATGTACGACTACCTTCACCTGACCCCGAAAGGATATCAAGCTGTATGTGAACCTTTGCATGCCCATCTCAAGGCCCTGCTAGGTGAACCTACTGACAACTGAGCATCTAGGTCACAAAAGTACACTACCACAGTGGTCCTTGTCCCTGTTTCAAGAAACCATTGCACTTATATTATTAAGATGTGTAATGATGGATAGAATCAGTTATTGAGGGCTAAGAGCTGCATAAACTATTTGTGGAAGACCTCTTCAAGGCCTTGGTTGGTGACCACTGTTAAAGACAATGTGACCATACGGTTTTTGTTTATATGAATTGACAAATCCCTACTTCCATTCCCAATATTGCACCTGTTCCATTAGCTTCTCTGACACAAAGAATCAATACAATTGGACAATTTTGTTTGTCATCCAGGGACCCTCTGGTTTAAGAGAATAATAATGAGCTAATTATACTGTCCATTATCACCCTCATGATTGGCACCGCTCACTAAAAGTGATGTCATATCCACCGGTGCAAGTTTTTGTGTCATTTTAGCCGGTCGCACACCTCTCAATTTTTTTTACCTGTGTGTGGGTGGCATTGGCACCGTGGCCGGTAATTCCCAAATTATACAGAGGGAGATGCTGCAACAGCTTGACAAAAAGACTTCTTAAAATCTCAGCTTCTGGTTTGAGCTTCTTCTACTCTTAAAGAGGGCTGATGTGGAGGTTTTATCTCAGTGATGACAGTTTGTTTTAGAAAATGCTGTAGCGGGTAAACTGAGCCCTAAGCACCAGTATTAATGGTGACTGCTGTGGTGATATCACTGTTTGCAAATGACACGACTAATGCGCTGACCATAAAGCACCCTTTAACGATACGTGAAGAGATGGCTGTTAGAGCACACATCAGTCCAGATGTTCAGTGGTCATGAATAAATTTCAAAAGTAGGCAGCAGCTTTATATTCTAGGAAGACATTCTGTAGGTCAAACCGCTGAATGCAGCACCTTGTTAAAGGTTTGCTCTGCTGCAGATCTTAACCCTTTGGCTATAGCTCATGAATCCTTCACACACAAAAACAGGTTGCACTTTCTTGAACTTTAGGAACAGGAGCTTGTTGGAAAAGGATGCAGGATATATCAGGTTTAAGCCAAAATATGCCTGTATACAAGATAGAACAACTGCCCTTCTTAGAAGATCCTTGTAAATCATCTCGATTTCACTGTTCTTCAGGTTACCTTTATTTGGCAATAGCTTTATTGCGATGTCTGATGTGTTTGGTTTCTTTTTTGTACCTGTTCATTTGAAGGACCAAAGTGTTTTGGGGTTTTTTTGTTTTTTGTTTTTTTTTTTGCTTGTCTGCACTTGCAAACAATTGACCGTTACAGTTTACTTGCTTTTCAGCATATCATGTTATCTCATTAATGCCCTTGTATCTTTTCCTTTATCCATAACAGCAACAGAGTATTCATATGAGAGACTGTTTTGTTGCAAGGATAGATGTGTTTGAGTAGGTCGAGAAGCTGTGGTGATATATCTAGATGTCTGTGAATTGA